ATGAATAGTTGAGATATTGAGGAATATCCAGAAACTTAGCCCGGTAAATATTGCTTATTCTGGTGTTTATCAATGGTGGTATACAATTGGTTTATGTGCTAATGAGTTGAAAGTTATCCTATAGATGTTGAATTCATGCATGTTCCAAATGCGAATCATAGCATTCATTCTTATGTGAATGGGAATGAAAATACTTTTTCTCAAAGTATGGACAAATGGAAGTTTAACTCCTAAAGAAGCACTTCATGACACCTCCCAGAATTTGATTGATTGATTTATTCCCCAATTATAGCCCCTCTGGGATGTAAAATATATCTTTTCTCACCATCCCCATAGTGTATGAGACAAATGTATGGATTTCAATTAGGGTTACGGAGATGGGATTTGAACTCATGACCTCAAGGTTATTCACACTCTATATTTTGAGAAATATTTACCATCCAAAAAGAGGAAAAAATGGAGTCTTTGTCTGCATTTCCTCTAGCTCCCGAAAAGGACATCATATGGATTGGCAAGAATGTTAGACCATAAAGAAGTTATCATATCCCATTTAAGTTGGGCCAGTCTCTTTTTAGGGTTCCATACTTTGGGCTTAGGGTGATCCTTTCGTTGATGGATGCTCATATTACACTCGTAGTCTAGATCCACCCTACAATATGGGGTCAAAAAGCCAAAATAAATTAATTTTGCCCTTATAAAAAGAAAACTGATTCTTGAACCCTTTCAAGCTCATGTCACGTCGAGGTGCTGCATATTGGGGACTATGCGGATCCACTCTTTTTCCTATTCAAATATCAGTCTTTTATCTCTGTGTTTTCACATTGAGAATTCTTTGCAGATGAAGAGTTGTCAAATGGGCTTCTTACCTCAAAAACAAATCTTCCTACAACTATATATAAATGATGGTTTATCAAGAATACACAAGAAAGATACTTCAAATTGTTGATTCATCACCAGAGATGGCTTAGAACCAATAGTTCATTATCTAATGGATTTTTCGTTTCTACTACTCCATCTGAGAGTTGTCAATATTTATCAAAGTTGTTCCTATCTAACGGAACGCTATTGGATCAAATGACAAAGACGTTGTTAAAAAAAAAAATTATGGCTTTTCCCCAGATGAAATGAAAATTGAATTCAAGTAACAAGAGAAAGGGTTCTATTCCTTAGCCGGAAAGATATGTGACCATGAAACAGATATTAAGTGGAACAGAATTGACTAGGCAGTAGAGTCATGGAAACACCTATTTCTTCCATATTTTGGACCTTAGCTGTAACATCCCACAGCGACCAACGGAGAGAGGGTGATTTGCCTTATATGTACATGCCCGTCTCCATATAGCACGAGGCCTTTTGGGAGCTCACTAACTTCGGAATCATAGGAACTCTGAAGTTAAGCGAGTTGGGTCTAGAGCAATCCCATGATGGGTGACTCACTGGGAAGTTGCTCGTGAGTTCCCAGAAACAAAACCGTGAGGGCAGAGAGGGGGGCCCAAAGCGGACCATATCATGCTACGGCAGAGCCAATCCCAGGATGTGACATTAGCTCTGTGGAACAATATACTAACTACTGCTGAAACATGGAAGAATTGAAATCTTAGATCAAAACATTATGTATGGATGTTATGAACTGCCTAAACAATAATTCCAGGGATGTATAATAATGCTATGAATGACCCAGTATAGAATACTCGTAATGATATCAGCAAAAGAACGTTATCATGTGCTTCCAGACATGTTGAGCTCTGCATATTCTTGTAAAAATGGCTACTGAGTTTTCCCGTAAAAATTATACTAAATTTCACTTTTATTCCCAGCAATATGAGTGAAGTTTCATGAAGAATCTTATAATTTTGATTTTTCAGATTATGCCAGTGTAGATTACAAGTGTAGAACATCCAAATTCAATGCGTTTGTTGACGAAAATGGCATCCAAAATTCTATCAAATCAAGCAAATTATTAATTGATAACGAAAACAAATACCATTATAACTCTACAACAAATCCAATCGCCACACAAATACAACGAATGAAAAGAATATGAAAAGCCACAAATCAAAAACTAACTAGTCGCAATCCAAATGCGAAAGATACAGCCTGGATGCTTAGCTACTTCGCTCACTTGCATTCTAAAGATCTGAGCGTCTTGGCCGCCACATCAAAAGCTATGGTGCAGTTCATGTTGGTAGCCTTCTTTTTCTTCATTATGAACATAATTGCAACTTTTCCATTCAATCTTCCTACGCTGTTGAGCGTCAAGACCCCGCTGCTCAATTCGCTGCCAAGATTTGAACCAGTTATTCCATTTGAATTCAAACTCACCTCCGCATTTCTTTTTATGGTCGAAAGCCATCCAACCTTGCCCTTTTCGATATTAATTACTCCCACAGTCGCGCCTTGGTATTGAAACGTGACGTTGGCAGCATTGAACTTGTAGGCACCCCAGTTGGCTGAGTTCTTGATCTTGATTTGGGTTGTGAATTTCGTGTCGAATGAAGGCGTTGCCGGGACAGATTCAAAGCTTTGGACGTTGATGTTGCCCAGCCTAAACCTGGGGTTCTTAACTTTCATCACAGTGAGACTCATTGTGGTGATAACTATGATCTGAAACACAACGAAAATAGTAATATAGATGGCCAATTTGATTTTCTTCTGGCGTTTCAGCTCATCAGCGGAATGCAAAGATTCTGCATCACCCATGTTGATTTCTTTTAATGGAAGGAAGGAAAGCTTCAAAAGAAAATGCTCTGCTTTTTCTCTGTTTTGCTCTGTAAAATATGAAGTGATGAGAATGTTGGCGGGTGCTGTGTGGTATATATAGACAATTTGGCTAATGAGTTAGTTGCAGGAATAATATGGACGGTGTAAACTTCCTGGAAATTGGAATCAAAAACTCTCAAATAATTAATTGGGTTGTAATTTATTGACTTCCAGAAGCCTTACTATTATTTGAGAACGTGACTTGAAACGCTATTATACTACTATAGATTTGCTGCGCATATTGACCCTTTGAAAATGTGAAACCGATAAGGAAGAGAAAAAAAGAAATACAGAATAAGAGGGAGCTCGGAGGGTTTTAAAGACTTTTCCCTTTGTAAAATATGTCATGGCATTGGCATAGAAACTTCATCTCACACGGATTATTATTGTTGTGAGCTCCTCATGGGAATGATTTGACCCTCTCTAGTCTCTAGAAGGCTACAAATCAGAACCTCAAACTATGCGCGTTTGGTTACATTTTGGCATTTCCAGGAAAGAAATTTCAGTTGCATTGACACAAACTAAACCACTATTCAATCAGATTGTCCAAAGTTCCAAACCGTTTCTTTCCTTTTCTTTCTCCGGTGGCTTGTAAATTTGTAAAGAGCACTCCCTTTACAATCAATCACTTATGTGGCCAAATAAACTCGAACTTGGTCGTGAAAATTAATCGTTGCGTTAGAACCTGAAGAATCAGTTTTCAGACAGGTTTGATGAGAACCAAATATGCACACATCTGTATGCTTACAAGAATTTTTATTTTTTTTCCGTTCGAAAACAAGGATTGAATACGAAAAATGGAGAATATGTACCAATTTGAAATATACCCCAAATTTTGGAGAATATATCATCGAAGAATTTTATGTAGTTAACCCTAAATTATATTGATCGTCCCACATTTTTGGACTTGAACCAGCTCAACTAGACCGGTTTAGATTCTTTCTTTCTTTTTGGGTGGGGTACTCTTGAGGTTTTACATTCATAGTACGTAGCACATAAACATGGTGGACAATGAACAAAGCTTGGATGATTATCTACCTAGAACCAAATGAGTTCGGAGACAATTAGTTGACCCTGAATGATGGTCCAATCCAGATTCAGCTCCTCTGCATTTTTATTCAAAAATGGAGAGAGGTGGGGCTTTGCTTGTCTAATAATATTTGGCCAATTGAATAATTGAAATCCAGCAAACGCCAAAAAAAATTAGGTTTTCTTTTTCTTTTTTTTCTTCAGTTTTCTAATATGAGAACTTTTATTCAATCTTTTCACATTTAAAGTTTGAAATCTACATTGATTTAAAAGTTTATTTATACTTAAGATATTAGGATTCACAGTAAAATAATAAGAAGAAGAAGAAGAAGAAAAAGTAGTGTGTGCTTATATTTTATCATTTCACACATAAAATAATGAAACAAGACACAAATACCACTTGCCTAACAAAACAGATGTTTAAGATGCTACTTTAATCTATTAATCTTGGATTGCTGATTCTTTTTATTCTTTTTCCTTTTTTTTCTGTTTTTGGGCAAAATATAATATTTGATTCCTTTAGCGCATTTCCACCATTCCCCTCAGCCCGAACAAGAGGCCCCCTAGGCCCTCAATCCCGTTTCCAGAGTCCAAATCTTGCCAAGGCAAGAGCTGGGCTCCACCAACTGGGGCAAGATGACCTAATGTTGATGTCATTGTGGCGTGAACAGTTAATTTAAATAACAAAAAAATTAAAAAAATAATAATTCCCAAAATACCAAAATTTTCAGATTTTCTTTTTGTTATAAATACCTAGCCATATTCTTCACTTCCCACACCAAAACTCTATGCAAATTCCTCTCCTCATATCTCATGTGAATAGTGGTTGTCCTTGGGTGTTATAGCAATAGGTGGAAAACCAACAAAAAAATTGCTAGGACAGACACTATTCATATGAATAATAACAACTCTTCCCTCCCCTTACCTTTTGCCATGACAAATGGTTGAAAATGCTCTTAATGGACCAATTAAATTAAGGTTGCAAGCAGCCAACATTGACAGCCATCACTTTATGAGAACAACTCCAAAGAGGCAGAAAAACTTACTTATAATGCAAGCAACTTTCTTTTTCTAATGGAGAAAATTGGGGCCTATATTAATTAACTCAATTCTCTTGGGGAGCAAGTAACATATAATTCTGGACATTGATTTATTTTATTTTTTTGGTCAAATAATTTTGGACATTGATTCATGCAACTTAAGCCTTTCACTACCCAAAAAACAAAATCCATATGAATATAATCTTTTAAAAAAATGTACAATCAATATAACTCAACAATCCACATGCAAACTACAGAGAATAGGTGAAATACCCGTAAGTTCAACACACACAAAAACACTAACAAAAACAAAAATATATATCACACAGACATAGAAATTTTGTCACTTGCACTTCAAATCCTGGACAGCACGGTTGGCCAAATTAACTGACATGGTGCAGCTCATTTTGCCAGACTTATTCTTCTTTATCACCTTCATCAATTGAACCTTCCCTTTCAATGTGGCCTCACTGGTCAGAGGCACTAGACCTGAGTTCATGTCACTTGCAAGGTTTGTGGTTCCTGTAAGCTTGTCTGTGTTGATGCTTATGGTAACATCGGTTCGCCGTGTCGATCGAGCTTTGGCTCTTCCCCTAGGGATGTCAGCCGTCCCGATTGCCTGCCCTGCATACAAGATTGTGACGTTGCTGTCCTGATACTTGAAGTGACCAAAGTTGGTGTTCTTCACAGCAAATCTGGTGACCAAGGTGAAGCTCAGAGATGATGAGTTGGAGTCGGTGGAGCTGAAATTCTCTGCTACTGCGCTACTAAACCTGACTTTTGGGCCCTTGATTTTCATCACGGTGAGTGCAAACACTGCGATGACTATGGCCTGAAACACAATGAAGATAGCAACATATGCTAGGCACTTCCTGTTTTTCCCTTCTCCTCTCATTTCGTTTGAATAAGCTTTGTTTCTATTTGCTCTTGGTTTTTGGTGCCAAAGACTTGCAAAGACTTTGAGGAGGTGGTGTATTTATGAAATTCTTGTGGTGTCAGATACTTCAAAACAGTTTGAGAAATGCAAATGGAGACGCGTGTTAACATTTCGAAGCGTGTTTGGAAGACTTTTGACAGTTCTATGACAGAAACTTCTATAAAATATCTCCACCATGAAAACGGTTTTTGTTTAATAATCTTTTTAGCTAGTACTTTTTTAGATTTTTCAATTCCTAGTACGCTTACGACCAACAGAGTACGGAAAAGACAATTCAAAATAGATAAGGTCTTCTCCCAACCTGCAATTTCAAAATTTGAAGTCTCCAGTTGTATTATTTGGTTAACAATTATTTTAACCTCAATTCTTTTTGTTTATCTTATCTTAATTTAGTTTTATGAACATTTTAACTTTAAACTATACAAATTCGGAAAACAAAATTTTGTTTCATAAATATGAACGAATTGCAGGTATTTATAGAGTTTTTTTTTTTTTTTTTTTGGTGGGGTGGGGGGGAGATGTTGGATATGATTTAGACTAATTAATGTTAACACTTTGATCGTTGGATCTTCTTTTACTGTTAGGTTTCTTTAGACTAAATCTAAGGATGGGAGTGAAAGTTATAAAACTTTGCAAAGGTTTATAAGGAGTTGGGCTACTTCTCCCATAATCAATTGATTTTGGGGTGGAACCTCAACTTCCTTCATGAGATAACCGTCAGGTTTTCATTTCAAAAAATATTTGGAATTATGTTATTCGATCGCAACGGTCAGATCATCTCAGCGTTAAATAAAGTTGAAGATGCCTTGCTAGTTGCGGGAAAAAAATGTTCTTGATGCTAACGTGTGATGGTCTGATTTTCTCCCTCCCTTTCACATAGATTTGGTCTGCTATTAAGTGAAAACCACCATTTGGGTTGGTACGGAATCATTTTTGCTAGTTTGCCCGAACTGTAATAGATCTTAAATTTTGGCCTGCTCCAATACATGCATTGGGTTGGAGATGGTCTGGAAAGGGATTGATTGTTTGATACCAAATACCAATAATTTACAATACTTTTCAAAGATTATCTACTCAAATTCGATCAAATGTCGACTAAATAGAGTTTTGACTTGTGGGTTTTAAAGAAAAGAAAAACACTGGGGATTGTCAAGTGGGACTGTGGAAGGGTTAGTATTCCACGTAAAGATGCCAATTCTTATCTTCTGGAAGAGAAAGACGCCTTGAGAAAATTACAAGTTGACGGCTTAGCGTGTGGCGTGCCTACAATTAACATTATAGATATCTTGTATCATGAGATAAACAAAGGACTATCAAGAAAGGCTGTCATGTTGGAAACGTCCGTGAAAAAGGCATATGGACAAAAATGGATGGGGCTGTTTCTGCAGCAGCCTTTGTAGACCGTCAAACATTAATTTGAGCTCAGTATGGAGATGGTAGGGTCAAGTTGTTATTGGGTTCAATCGCATTTGTGTTGCCTTACTAACAACAAACAGCACAAGCAAGCAACCTCATGGTCCTTTTCTTTTCTTTTCTTTTGGTCTAGTGTGTCCACATCTATAGTCTCTCCATTCTACAATCATCAACACATCATTCTAAATATGTAATTAAAGAAAGGAAAAGGCTTGGCTGTTTAAAATTCCGGAGTAACTCCATCTCACAACGTAGAGTTTAAAGAAAAATATATTCATTATTACTTCAATTAGCACATAAGTGACATAACCTATTGAGAAAGGATTTTTCTATACAACGCAAATTATAACGTAGTTGCAACAGTTAAGTTTATGGATTTATCTTCCTCTACTTCAAATTTAACCTACCTATTTTACTATGGTATGGACTAATTACATTCAATTAGTGTGTTCACATCCAACAGAAATAAACCTATTGATGAAATTATTCTTTTTTGGGTCGAATTGATGAAAATATTAAGTATTCAACAAGACGTTTAGTTCTTACTAGCAAAGGCACCCGCGCGATGCTGCGGGTTTTAAAACCGTGTAAAATGTATACAAAATCGTGAAAAAATATATGAAAGATGGTACTATTTATATAGACATGGAGATCTAAATAGTGGCATCATGCTTTATTTGGCAAGTTTATGTTACAAAAAATAGACTAATAACACATTTTATATGCTGCTTGTCATGTTAAAATATTGACCATATTTTAATAAACCAAGCAGCAATTAAAACATCAAAATAGCATCAAAATATCAGCAGTTTTA